CAAATATCGAGCCTTAACTTCTTCTTTCAAATAACTAATAAAATCCTTGTTATCAATTTTAAAATAGTCATTCTTAAAAATAGAATCATCAATAGTCTCTTTAAAATTTAAATTATAAATATTTTCAATACTACCCCCATCAAATTTTATCTCATCAATAACATCATTATCTGACTTGGTTAACTTTCTAAATAAAAACTTACAAGGTTCTCCTAAAAAGTTATTAAATTCTGTTTCATCATCTTCCCCTATAAAACGGTTAAAAATAACCTCTTTACTAAAAACATTATCACTTAAATAATTTCTAACTACATCAATAATCGATTTAGCTCGAACAAATGATCTTTTATTAACAAATTCTATTAAATGAATTGTTAAATAATAAAGTTCATCTGTATCATCAAACATGTTAGTTTTATTACTATTTAATGACAAAATAATTCTTAAATCTCCTAAAACGTAAAACATTCCCCTTTCTAAAAGATTCTTTAATTTTAATTCTTCTTTCATTATCAACTTTACTCTCCTATAAAAACAAAGATATCTGTTTAAAAATAAATAAATCAACTTAATTTCATAATTTTCTTCATTTTTATACTCTTGATAACAAAAATAATATGCAAGTATAATTTCATTTTTTGATATCAATATTCCTAAAAGTAATTTTTTATACTTCATATCAAAATTCTCCTTATTATTAATAAGATACATTATGTCAGCCTTCTTAATAAACTTGCCCATACAATACTTATACATAATACTATCCTCTTTTGATTCAATCCATTCATATTCTATTAAACTCATAACCTTAGTTATTTCATCAAAATTATTTAGTTTCCTAATTAAGGATTGAAATGTATTCTTTCTCATATTCTGATTTAATTTGTCATTTAAAAGGATATACCATTGCATATTAGTATCATTTATATCTAATAAAGATTTACTAAGATCAACATTGTATTTAAGTGCATATTCATATACTCTCCAATCATTAATCTCATTAATAAAACTAACTAAAATATCTATCTTTAAATCTTTTTTATACTTTAAATAGTATTCTCTTTTAATAGTTTTACCAATAAAACTGGTTTTAGAAGGTTCAGTTAAATACAAATCATAAGCAATGAGAAATTCATATTCAGTTAAATAATCATTAGTTAATAAGAAATAAAGTAAAACAGGATCACTAAGAGTTTTACTATTCATGTATTCCTCTATGAAACTGTTGTCATTAAAATCTATTAACAACATAAAAGAATAAAACAATTCCCATTCTGTCTTAAAATCCCCATCTTCAACTTCTATTAATTCTAAAGCTTCTTTATAATTCTTATTTATAAAATAAGAAGCAATTCTGTGCCTATTAAGTGATTTAGCAAGAATATCTTTCATT